CTCGTAGGACTCAGGGCGGCTGACAATCAATTAAAATACATAAATAACAATACAGGTTTAAAATTAATTAAAAGAAATATTTAAAGATTGTCCGATTTAAAATATAATTAAAACCCCTCTAAAAATTACCCTAGGCCAGTCCTGCAAGCTGGAATAACCAAGTCTTGAGGGCGCGGCGAAAGGAAGGGAGATCAGGGATCACCCTGATCTCTGGGGGCAGTTCATTCCAGAGGGTGGGAACTCCCACAGAGAAGGCCCTCCCCCTTGGGGTCGCCAGCCGGCACTGTCTGGCCGACGGCACCCTGAGGAGACCCACTCTATGGGAGCGTACAGGTCAATGGGAGGTAATCTGCGGCAGGAGGCGGTCTCGAAGGTATCCGAGTCCGATGCCATGGAGCGCTTTAAAGATGATAGTCAGCACCATGTCCTCATCCTCTCTCTACTGCAATTTGCTCTACAGGGAGCAAATTATCTTTGAAGACAACTTGAACACTACAGCAAAATGCAGCTGTCACAGATGGAGGCTGTTATAGCTGGATAATACTTATATTGCCAAAGCTGGCCTTGTTCACAAGTTTGCTTTCAGGTGCCCATTATTCCCTATAAAACCCTTTATAGCCCAGATTTTGGTTACAGTGAGACCCTATTATTATTATTATTATCATTGTTGTTGTTGTTGTTGTTATTTTCTAGGATCTTCCCAGGTACTGATGTTAAGCCACATCAGCCCTTTTCCCATCCTCAGGTACTTCCCCGGTACTCCAGGATTTTTGAAAAATGTGGTGCAATAGTTCTGAGATAACATCTGCCAGCTCCTTCAGAACTCTGGGATGTAATCTGTCGGGTCTCGGTGATTTATACTTGTCAAGGTTGGATAGGTATTCTCTTACCATTTTCTTGCTTATTTTAATTTTTGTTTCTAGTTTGTCTTTGGCAGTGGTTTTGGGGTATGTTGGGCTATAGTTTCTTTTTGTGTGAAGACTGATGTGCCTATTCATAATATAGTTAGTCCCAGGGCAATTCAGATTTTAAAGAACATGATTCTGGAGGCAGACAACATTGGCTCAACTTTAGGCAGGAATTTGAAGACCAAACTGAACCCAACTCTACCATAGAGGAAAAGTATCACTAATATGATAGCTCTTCCTTACACAAAGTACAGAAATAAAATATTAAAGTTGTTTAGTTGGCAACTAAAACAGCTCTTTGGTGATTGAAATAACAATGGATATCAATGACAGAACAAACATAACACTGTTTTTTGGTTCCTAACTTTTTTGTTATTTTTCAAAGAAAATGGGCTGAGTACATGGTCTCAGACAGCACAATCACCTAGGCTAGTCATGCCTTCAGTGCCTCTCCTATACATAGTGAGAGCCTCGGTATGTAGTGTAGGCCACTACTTGCTACTATTCTTACCACTACTACTGCTACCATCAATAACTACTACTGCTACTAGCTGCTGCTACTAGTAGCTTAGATACTGTCTACTTCAAAAGAAGACGGATACTTACAGGAAGTTTGTACCCCTGGTAGTTACTAATTAAGTCTTGAATGAAGGGGTGCTTCAAAAGGAGTTCAAGTTTGATGGACTGCAGCTCTTCAGAGCCAAGATCCTTGTACACCTTAATGAAATGCTTTAAAAAAATGAAGAGAGCTTACTTTATTAGTAAATGAACCAACTGAAAAAACCAAAAGCAATATATAGAAATACTGTTATAGAAGGCAAAGCTGTCCTGGGGTGAAGTGTCATAATAATGTCTCTTTTTCAGTTTTATATCTTAAAAATTAATACTGTAGTAAAAGAATGACTTTTCTGACCAGCATTGATGTTGCCACAAGTCCTAATTGTTGCTTAGAAAATCTGATAGGAAAGCACATTTCAAGACTTGCAAATCCTTACCTGTGGCACAAAACACTCCAATCTTTATATTAGTCCTGTAAATCAGATATCTATTTTCCTAGAAGCATTACACAACAAAGCATGCCAGGTATCATTCAATAAAAGCTATTATCAAGTAAAGGCTTTATAATTGCAAATGTAATATATTATGATCAAGAGTTCCTAAGATATCCTTGGAGAGACAGAGCATGAAAATGTGAAACATAATTTATTTCTTACAGCTTTGATTTTTTTTCCTTTATAAGTAAAACTCTCAACAAAACTCTTTTCACGCCTTGCTTAAAGTTTGGTTAGATCATTGTTGACCCAACAGAATGGCTTTTGAAAATAAATAGACTGACAATCTCATCCGCTACATCTACTTCACTCTGCATAGCTCTAATACTGAAACATACAGTCTCTCCATGTGTGCATATACTTATCTTTCTTGCCTGCAGGTTTAAGAGCCCTAATCTAATCCTATTTCAGAAACAATACAACTGTCAGTCAAACTTAGCCCATTTCTTTAAATGTCAGTGAGACATTGCTTGCTACAAACATGAGATAAAAAAACTATATGAATGTAATTAATGGAGTTATGAGCGAATTAACCAACCTCATAATTGTCCTCTTCTGTCAGATGACTACTAAATCTGTGATTGTCAAAAGCTTTGTTTGTTTCATACTGGAATACATGGAGAAGTGTAGCCAGTGAGATGTGTCCGTCTTTGCCGATAGACAGGGCTTCATCTTCTTTCTCCTTCTCTTCCTTCTCTTCCTCTTCTTCTTCCTCCCCTTCTTCACCAGCCTCCTCCTCTGCCTGTTCATCATGAGCAGCAGTGGTTATGAGCTGCTCAGCAGATGTTATAAACTGAGAAAAACAAGCCAAAGATACCATAAGGTTTTTTGGGAGGGGGGGTGGGCTAGATAGTTTCCTAGTGACCAGATGGAAGGTATGTGACTCTCAGAAAGAGCACCAGCTTTGAACAGTAAAGCCAGCCAGAGTGTTGCAGTTTTTTCTGAATAAAGATCATTCCTTCTCAGGTTCTTGTGTCTGTTTCTAATATTCAGTACATGAAAAGGGATTCCAAACTGTGAACTTCCACTGTCATCTACAAGGAGATGAAACCCAAATTCTGCACTTAGAATTCTGAACAACTTCCAACCATTATTTTTTGTAGGGTGAAAGTACTATTTAGAGTTCATGTGAACTCTAATAGGCTGCAGAAACCTTGCTACACTACTGTAAACATTTCACTGTTTTTCAATCAGTTTAACTGGTATTGTATTCTTGCCTGCAATTTTGTAATATTGCCAAGATGTCTACTTAGTGTGCTTTGCTGAATTAAGCTGTGCAATGTTTCTTGAAGATGGTCTAGACGCCAGGCTAGAAACCAGGAGACTGTGAATTCTAGCCCCACCTTAGGCATGAAAGCTAGCTGCAACAGAGAACTGAACATAAATAGTCAACATAAGCAATGGACAGAAAGCCTGACTACCAAGCACTGTATTCTTATTATTATCTGTTCCAATGGTATTTATTCTGATTCTATTTATTCTGTATATCGCACACGCATCCTGCCTTTTTTCCAGAAGCTCTGGGCAGCACATATAATGATAGATCAAAAGAGGCTGGCTTTATGGAACAAATATATTTTTGTCACCAACCAAATCAAGATACAATTTTTATTATCAATAATAATTATTTTTTTTACCATTTGAGGAAGAGAAAAGTGTTTCTCCCTCTTCCTTTGAATATATGTCCCTGTTGCGACACTAAGGGCTCGATAGACACCATTTATAGCATCAGGGTAAGAGGCAAAGTAGAGCAGCATCATAGTGTAGTTCAGTTGAGGAGGGTCTTTTTCAGGATCAGAAAATAAAGTGAACAAAAACTGCAAAAAGAAATAATTCTATTAATTGACGTATTGGATATTCTGTTTAATCACAACAATTCAGTATGGATATGGCTAAGGCGGGGGACCTAATCTAGACCTTTACTGTGATACTAAACATCATTACATGAAAGCTTGGATTGACCACAGAGGACATCATATATAGGCTCTATCTAATGATGACCATAACACGTGGAAGATTGCAAGTTGGCATGAAAAACAGAGTGGTAAAAGGATGAATTAATCAGCGAAGGCAAAGGAAGGGAACTAAAATAAAAGGGGGGGGCAGGGAGGAAGGAAGGAAGGTTCTGTTTGTAAAAGCAGGAAAAAGAGATCTGCAATAAGATCTGAAAGAAGGTGGCCTGATTTTGGAATGGAAGGAAGTGAAGTATATATACAAGGAAGTGAAGTATAGATTTAATTATGAATGAAAGGTCTAAAATGCATGTTAAAACAACGAACTTATGACCTCTGCATTGATGTGGACATGTATGAAAGTAAGAATCCACAGATAAAGGATAGTTACATATTAACACTCTAGATCTCAAGATTATTCCAACAAAAATGAACGGTTTCTGAAGGACTATACAAAGGTGGGCTTCAGTTATTCATTTAATCAGTTATTTTGTTATTCTGTTTTTATTTTGTGGTGATGGCTGTGTTTTTGTTTTAGTTCCTTTTTAAACTTCTGTTCAACGGTAAGCCATTCAGAATTACTTTTGAGAGACAGGAGGTCATTGAATTCAAATCGATAAATAATGAAAGAACCAAGAAAAACTATATAACATCCTGAATGAGTATAATTGGAAGAAAAGTGTTACTCTGGTGAATGAACAGAGGAATGGAAACAAGAGGAGACAATATAGAAACAGTTACTGGTCATTCAGAAACCAAAGAATGAATGAAAATAGTGATTGATAGGTGAATATCTACCTAGAGAAATGTCTGTTTCTTTTGAATGTACAATTTAAGCACATCTGTTCACATGTGTTCATGGTAAAGGAAGGAATCTAAAAGTATGATTAATTTGACTGTTCGTTAGGAAAAATGTGAAGGCCAAAAGCCTGATGAAGGGTCTTGAATGTTGAACAGACTATTTTTTGGTAACGGTAAGAGTGATCTTGAGAAAAAGTGAAAGAAAAGTAAAAAAAGAAATGTGAGTGAACATTTGCAGTTTCTTTGCAAGAAGAAAAGTATGAGTCCTGTAGAAAAACTTATCATACAATACATTAACCTCTTAACAGAATAAATAGGAATAGAACTATGGGGAAAATATTGAATATGCTTGAAGCAGTGTGAAAAAAATTAGAATAAGTGTGGGACGTATGAAAAGTGATGCTTGATAGAATTATGAAGTGAAAGAGGTGGGATTGAAGAAAAAAAAATGCATGTAGAAATTATTGCTGCAAAAAATGATGAAAATAGTATACTCTTGGCCAAGTTTGTGGATGAACTATTCAGGATACTACAAGATAAAAGGGATTGAAAATAATATTGCCAACTTTTTAACAGACTCATACAAATCTATGAGTAGATTGATGGAATATTGTGCAACCTCTGGTCACCATATTTGGGAAAATATGCAATGCAGTTGTAAGAAGTATAAAAGACAGCAACCAAAATTACCTGTGGCTCAAGCAACTTCCATACAAGAAAAGGTTAGAATATTGGTGGTTCTTTAGCTTAGAAAAAAGGTGACTGAAGGGGATCTGAGTGCATAAACCGATATGTGCCATATAGAAAGTGAACAGGAAGAATGGTTGCAGAAATTTAGTATGTCTAGTTAATGTAAGGAAGGACTAGAGATGACATGATAGCAGTTTTCAATATCTAAGGGGCTTCCACAAAGAAGAGGGGGTCAACCTATTCTCCAATGCACCTGAGGCAGAACAAAAAGCAATGGATGGAAACCAGTCAAGGAGAGATCCAGCTTAGAACTAAAGAGGACTTTCCTGACTGTTAGAACAAATAATCAGTGGAACGATTTGCCTCCAGAAGTTGGGGATGCTCCAACATTGAAGGTTTTTAAGAAGAGCCTGGACAACCATTTGTCTGAAATGGTATCTGGTTTCCTGCCTGAGCAGAGGGTTGGACTAGAAGACCTCCAAGTTCCCTTCCAACTCTGTTATTCTGTTATAAGTTTTTCTTCCTCTCTTAAATATTAGAATGGATTGATTGGAAGGAGATACAAAATGGAACCATTTCCTTCCCCAATCTTCATCCAGCACATAAGCAATTTCTGAAATTCATTATGACAAAATATAATAATCGTCACTAATTTGGATGTTTTTTAAAAGGATCAGATGTACTGTATATATGAAGGAGTAGCAACAGGCTGGAGGTAGCATGATCCAATCACAGTGAGTGAAAAAAGGTTATGTCTCTATTCCTGCTTCCGGGCATTATCTTAGTCACTTTAAGGGACAAATGTTGAGATGGGCCTTGGCCTTACCAATAGGACATTTTTAATGATCTTAGAATTCCTCTCTTTGAACTTTTTCAGACTAGGAAGAGTGGATAATCAGGGAGACTCATAACACAGAATATACTTATAACAGGAAATAGTATCAGCTCTGAAATACAATGGAGAGGAATTATAAAGAAATAACCACACAGCCTGAGAATAAGGGAGAAAAACAGAAATCTCTTTCTCAGTTGACAATGTTTGAGAAATTATAAGACAGGCTGTGGTTCAGCATGAAAATGTATATGTATTATTGCATGGTCAATCTAGATGCATGGAAAAATCCCCATAACATTGTTAATTCTAAAATCTGGTCTCCTTCCCCATTCATAAAAAATATTTAACTCCCTCTCTCATCCCAGCCATCATTTTTTTTTAACTTTCTCTTTTAAGACCTGGAAATAACTCCATAGATATAGGATCAGCGTTGAAAAGTAGAAATTTCTGAATTTATCTGTTAAAGATAATCAGAAATGGCCAATGAATTGTGTTCTGATTTGAAAGTCAAGCAAATAATCAACTGTGCCTTAGAATGGAAATACATTTTTTTAAAAGAACTAAACTACAAGTAGCATCCACTGGTTACTTCAGAATTGTTGGAATGTAGCAGACAGTGTTTGGAACTCATTAAAAATGGCAGTCTTACCTTTTCCCCTTGGATTATGGCCTCTGAATATTTATACTTACTTCTATGAGATGCTTCTGATGGTTAAATGGTAAAGGCTCTGTAGGACTTTCAGGTATGGCTAAATCTTCACTGTCTTTAAACCACAGACCAACCTAAAGCAAACAAAAGAAAACCTTATACTTTGAACTGTGAATATTCAACATTTAAGGTTTTGAGCTTTTCCACACTTCAAAAATGTGTAGAAAATATGTACCTAGTCGCAAGGAGCTCTGGCAGGGAATATTGGAGAATCTGGGGACATCATCAAATTACAAAGCTCCATTGAAATATTACTTTTCAATAACATTATAAAGATTTCATTTTGAAAATTGATTCTTAAAAATTATGGGTGGATTTAGTATCTTGATTTGTTTCAAAAACACCTTTTTTTTTAGATTTTTCTCTCTCCCACCTCCATTTATCATTTCAAACATCAGAGGATGGGTATGAGATGCTGAACCCAAAAATTGCTCTACCCAACTTCCTGTGTTGTTTCTGGAGTTTTTGTTTGTTTTTATTCTCTTTACCTATATGAAGCGAAATACCGCAATTTTGCGTAGGTGTGTATAAAACAGATCTACATTTCTTTGTGGCTTTACCATCCTGAATAGGGAATACATCTTTTCCTGCCCCAAGATTTGCAGGGGAGGCTGTTGCAGCTTGCATTTTTTTCCTGAAGACAGCTCTTGCTCCATTACAATGTTTTTCGAAAGTATATATAAAGAAGGATAATGAATGCAGATTACAAGCTTACCTGAATGATTAATGTGGGGAAGCTTTACCACTTAATAAGACTTTACCGCATATTAAAATCCATGGTAAGAAACAACACCCACTCCATCCTTTATTGAAACAACATGACATTGCAAAACTGTTGGAGAAAGTCTTACTATTTATGCCAATATCTGTGGAAGGCAGCTCTCTGAAATGCTACAGCCAACTTTATATATGAAAACACTTGGTGGATATAAAATATGAGCTAGTGATATGGTGTAAGTCAGGCATCCTCTACCTTTTCATACAGGGAGTCCTCGACTTACAATTACAGTTGTGACCGGCATTTCCACTGCTAAGTGAGACAGTTGTTAAGTGAGTCGCATCCAATTTTATATCTTTTTTGCCATGATTGTAAATAAATCATGCAGTCATTAAGTAAATCCAACTCCCACCGTTGACTTTGCTTGTCAGAAGCTAGTTTGGAAGGTTGCAAATGGCGATCATGTGATGCTGAGACATTGCTACCATTGTAAATACATGCTGGTTGCCAAGTGCCCTAATTCTGATCATGTGACCACGGGAATGCCACAATTGTCATAAGCATGAAAACTTATTGTAGGTCACTTTTTTCAGCACCATTATAACTTTGAACAATTGCTAAATGAATGGTCCTAAATGAAGAACTACCTATATTTGGAATTTTGAGGGAGCAGGTTTATGGAGTTCTCACAAAATAGTTATGAAGGGGGCTTATTTTCTTTTCATAGAATTCCTGCACGCTGTCTACAACTATTCATTTAACAGAAATATTAAATAGATTTCTCCCTATCATATTTCTAACCATCTCTTCCAAGAATGCTTTTTAGACTCCTCCAATTTAATTTTATATTTGGAGACAGCATTTCACATTATTTTTGTTTTGTACCAAATACTTTGGACCAACAAGGAATCTAGAGGGATTTTTGTAAAAAAAAAAGATGATGCTAGATTGGGGATTTGTTGGACATTTTCCATTTTTAAATTTTAAAAAAATCTAAAATAGATACATTTGAGTCAGGTATGGAATGGTTGAGATACCTCCAGATTTTATTTGGGATCTATAGCCTATAATCTTTAATGCCATTGTTGGGATCTAAAAGCTTTTACACCAAAGTATCCTGATATACCAGTTATACATAAAGGATGCAGTCCATGGACTATGTCAAGAAACAATCACTCCAGAAGGCTCTTCTGTATAAATATGTATAGATTATAAGGAAGTGGAGGAAAAAACTCAGAGAGACCAGATTTTTTGAATTCCTAATTCCTAGGAATTTCCTATCCACCAATATCTATTATTATTATATAAACACCAATTCTTTAGCTGGTATTGGCCTTCTTACTCATTGAATTCTTCCCAAAAAAGTAAGAGATCACAATGAGTGTTAAATTCTGTTGAAACTGCCTGAACTTGTCTGTGCAGTTTTCATGGCAAAATTTTGGAAGTGGATTGCCATTTCTTTCTTCCTAGGTCTAAGCTTTGAGTTTAAGACTGTATTTTGTGCCTAAGGCTGGACTAGAACACAGGGCCTCCTGGTTTCTACCCTCGTGGCTTAAGCATGACTCCAAATTATCTCTCCAATTATATATTGAGAAATCCCTCTTCTTCCGCCCCAACTCCATTAATTCCCTGTGCCCCTTTTCACCTTGTCCAATCCCAATAGGATAGGATTTGGTTGAGCATCCCCATTAAACACAATGCAGAAGAATGAACTTTTTGAATCCAAGGGCTTTCTGCATAAATATGCCAGACCTTTATTTCCCCCCCTTTTTAGTACAGATTCCTCAAAATTCTTATGCATTCTTATATTCAGAGCAGAAAACAGCACACAGTCTTTTCATAGACTTGAGCTAAAGAGTTAAACCTGGATCATTGGGAGAGAAGAAAGCAAGTATTCTCTCTCCTTCTCTGCAATCCAAAATTCTCTCATGATATTTTAAGTGTCAAAAGAAGTATTTCCTATGTTAACTGAACAGATTTGGAAAAGGAGTGCAAAGCTGATTCACTAATTGAGCATGGGCAAATTTACCCAAATATTTAATCCCAACCGTGCAACGATTTCCTCACATTCAATTCACACAACATATTTACTAAGTGGTAATTCTAGCACTATTCTTCTTCTTCAATATCCTGTTTTTTTCTACCTGCTTTTATGGAGTAGGATAATGTACATTACTGTAAAAATAAGTTTTGACCTCTGTAACTTTATGGCGGAACAAGGGTCATAGGGTATGCTTGCAACAAGAGCTGGAGAAGTAAAGCTGCTTTGAGTCCCAAAGAGAAAACTGCTGAGAAGAAATTTAAAAAACAAACAAACAAAAAATGCAAACAAAACAAAATTGAAGTCTCTCGAGGAGAAAGGTTAATGGGTAGCAAATGATTTTTTTAAAAACCTTCAAATGAAGTTTCAATGTTGGGTATAATAAAAATGGCACCATGTATCTTTCAAACTTCATTGATGGTTACAGTGATGATTAATTCTCTTTTGAAGATCACTCTGCAAATGATGGCAGTTTGGGATCAATTTAAATTTTAATCAAAAGTCTATGAATTGTTCTGAATTAAGGTGTCATGGTTTCGATGCTAAGAACAACAGAATCAGAACTCCGGGGCTAGAGATTTCCTCAAAGAACATGTTTATTGGTTAAAAAATATTGGCACGGTCAAAGTGAAACCAAGTCTGAAATTCTCTCCAAAGAGTTACACTATTACAGTACAAAGTCAAACTTCCCACCCTAGAGCTATACAAAGAGCTAAGTTCCCCAACAGAAAGATTTGGCAGACTTTCTAACAAAACGCCCAGCCCTCCAAGCTAACTGATAGGATGACCTTGGTTCCCATGGGAGCCAGAATTGTTTAGACTAGCAAAAATACTCTGCACCCCCCCTTTCTTGTGGCAACCTAGAACAAGCAACATGGCTTCAGCCAGATTCATTGTAGAGTTGACATCAGGGAATTACAAGCTCGTAAAAAGGGAATTTTTTTATGAATTGTCCAGGAACTGTTGTAATTTATATGTGCTTCCAAGCAAAGCTCTTTTTTGTAAGATACATGCTGTAAATTTGAATAATTCTATTTTTTTCAGCTATTTTGACAATTTTATTATTAAAGCACCGAAGATTCCAATAATTATTAGGAAAACAATTGCTGGTTCATTCCATGATCTCCATTTCACTTTTTAAGTCATGATATTTTACATTCATTTCCAGCTACCTTTGAGCTACTTTACTATTATTTGCAACTGCCACATCTATAAGTAAAACTTGGGTTTTTTTCAACTATAGGTAGTTTTCAACTTACAACAGTTCATTTAGTGACCGTTCAAAGTTACAACGGCATTTATGACCATTTTTCACACTTACAACTGCATCCCCATGATCACATGATCAAAATTCAGACGTTAGGCAACTGCCTCACATTTATGACTGTTGTAGTGTCCTGGGGTCATGTGATCCCCTGACAAGCAAAGTGAGGAAGCCGGATTCACTTAACAACCAGGTTATTAACTTAACAACTGGAGTGATTTACTTAACAACTGTGCCAAGAAAGGTTGTAAAGTAGGGCAAAATTCACAATAAATATCTCGCTTAGCAACAGAAATTTTGGGCTCAATTGTGGTCATAAATTGAGAACTACCTGAACTGGTGAATTGGGTTCTAAATCTCAATCTGCGTGAATGTGAAAATGCCATACAATTTATACATTATCTTTCAGAGCATTTTTTTCAGTCTTGCGATTGTATCAATATTTGAAGACATCATACTTTTTTTCTTAAATTCCAATATGCTGTTTTTGCCTACAATCATGTTTTGTCATAACGTGTCGAGACAATTTTGTATTATAGGCTACTTCTGATTCAGCCACATTCAAAATATGTTTATGGTAGACATTTTTAGGACTTTGCTTTCATCTGTATAATCATTTAAGCCTCTGACTTTATCCTGCAGTGTCTGCTTCAGCTACAACAAACCATGACTACCCATTTTTCTTGTTAAATAAAATAGTTTTTGTTACCTTTTTAATGTAATGCATAATATTGTCTATCTATCTAAGGCATTTAAGTCAAATAGTATCCAGTCACAAGTAATATTTGCTTGTGGTATTACAGGTTCAGTCCAAATATTAAATATTTTGATTGTATTATTGCCAATCATTACAAATTCTAAAACTTTTCTAAAACTTTTCTGACATGTTGAAAGATGGTTTGGGCATGCAAGCATCTGTTTGCTTTAAAACATCCAAATATTTGCACCTTTTTTCTATTGTCAACCCTTTGATTTTAATGCCACTCCATAATTTAATTCTGCCTGTATATTCAATTTATCCTTTTTTTTAATTCAAATTTTATTAAATGTACATTTAAAAACAAAAGTGGACATGATTCAACTTCCCTCGCTACAACACTGCTATTAGTATTACCTTATATTACAGAAAGAAAAACAGAAACTTAAAATACATTCTATAACAGGACAGAGTATAACAAACTGTACATATAACATCTGTAAATTTTTTGGTAAACCATCTTTCAGTCGTCAACGTTGTATTTACATATCTTTCAATTGTGTCCTAATATAGGTGTTAATAAGAAGTCCTTACGATATCAACTAATCAATCAATAATCATCTCAGCGATCCTCCTTATCTCTAACCAATCGTACAAATTTTTCCAAATTTCATAATAATCCGTTTCAGTTTTATTTTTAATCTCTAGAGTTAACCTGTCCATTTCGGCGCAGGATAAGATTTTATTTATTATTTCTTCTTCAGTGGGGGTTTCCTTTCTTTTCCATTTCTGGGCGTATGCCAATCCTGCTGCGGTTAAAATATGCAATAGTAAGTAGAAAGATGCTTTGCTGAGTTTATCATTAATAATCCCTAATAAGAAGGTTTCTGGTTTTAAATCAATTTTTTGTAATAATATTTCTTCCGACCAATTTTTTATCTGATGCCAAAAATTTTGCGCTTTTGAACATTCCCACCACATGTGATAGTAAGTCCCTGGAAGCCTTCTACATTTCCAGCATGTCGGTGAGGTTTTTTAATCTATTTTTGCTAGCCTTGTAGGGGGAAGGTGCCATCTATAAAACATCTTGTATAGATTTTCTTTATATGAGGTGGCTAGCGTTAACCTCCTGTTTCTATCCCATTTTCAATTTATCCTTTTTAATTGCCCACGCACATTTATCCAACCGAAATTCTATTTAATTGTCATCACTAAAGATTTTAAATGTATATACAAGTTACTTTATTTTTCTAGATGATTTTAGATATAGTTATATTATAATCTATATAAGCAATTGGGAAACTTACTCATCCCTTTCTTGGATAATTTGGATTTTTATTTTAAATTATCATGAATAGAATCAGAGTATTTTAAAGAGTGGAGACAAAGAGTTACCTTCAAAACATTTTTATTCTGATTTGACTTCTTCAAATTTTATTGTATTTGAAATCAGAATTTCAAACATTTCTAAACATTTCTTAATGCAGCTATAGGGTAGAAAATAATAATAACAACACCACCAACAACAACAAAAGTTGGAAGGACCTTGGAGGTCATCTAGTCCAACCCCCTGCTCAGGCAGGAAATCCTATATCATTTCAGACAAATGGCTGTCCAGTCTCTTCTTAAAAACTTCCAGTGTTGGAGCATTCACAGCTTCTGGAGGCAGATTGTTCCACTGATTAGTTGGATTAATTGATTTCTTTTTTGTTTGTTTGTTTGTTTTATGCCTTTTAGACCTTTAATTTTTTTTTCAATCAAAAGTTTGTCTTTTGTACCTCTAGAATTTTTTAAATTCCATTTTTTCTCTATTAGGTACAATGAATTTGAAATTCGGTATTTGTAAATGTTATTGTATTAGCAATGTTTCCTGTTAACAGCTTGAATGTGATTAGGCAAAAATTAAATGGGTTTCTTCCATTTTTTTTCCTTTCATGATTAAAAATGGTCAACCTCTATTGATCCTTACAGCAACATTTGTTTGAAATGAAAATATTTTCTTTGTCCATCTCCTTATCCACCTGGAAGTCTCTATTCCCACCCCCCCAGCAACAGCATTTGTGTAACGCTTACTGATGGAAAGATTGGGACTGACTACCAATTGCCAATTTAGCCATGGTTGATGGATTCTCTGGTCCTACTTTAGGACCTTAAATATCAGACAGTGATTATTTGTGAAGGCACATAATTTGTAGAACATTATTTAATTTGAAACAAATCAGCAATCTGTGCCAAGGACTGTCCCAAAGATGCTTTTTCAAAAGGAAACTGGACTTGTCCCTTGAAGACATTTTGCTTCTCATCCAAGAAGCTTCTTCAGTTCTGACTTCTTCAGAACTGAAGAAGCTTCTTGGATGAAAAGTCTTCAAGGAAAAACAAACTCCAGTTGCGTTTTGAAAAAGCATCTTTGGGATAACCATTACTTGGATGAATGAGAATCTCCATAGACATTGTGCCAAGGATTGCATTGTTACAGATATTGCGAACCTTTTTAGCATTTATAATAATGTTTGGGTACTTGCCATCACTTTAGATTTTCCTATTCTGCTCTTTCCCACAGTTTATTGGGGACTGCATTACTTTGATAAGGGGAATATGCCATTGTGTTATCTTACACGCTTAAGAGGACACAGCATAGATCCTCTGATTGTATGCTACCATGCCAACATGTACAAAGCATCCATTTGTTATTTATTACTATGCCTTAGGAACAACAGAGACTCTTGAGAACCTGACCTCGACTCTTTTGTCTTTCTAAAGAAATGGTGGGGAGGTATTTACACATCAGAATGAAACCTAAAGTACTTCTGTTAAAGATAACACGAAGTTATGTAATGTATTAATTATCTTGAATGAAACTGACTTGTATTCAGTTGTTTTCGTTTTTCACATATATAAGCATGTACCCTCAGACACACAGACACAGTTGCCCATGCTGAGACACAAACCACATGAAAAGTACAATCCTATACATATTTACTAAGAAATACGTCTCACTGCATGCAATGAGGTTTACCTCCTAAGTCTATGTGCATAGCAGGGAAGGGTTGAAAAGCCACAATGTTTAGACAAAGGAGGTGAGGTTAGCAATTAAGCTTAGAGAGGGGTACATAGACTAGGGTTGGCCAAAATAAAATTTTGCTTGCACTGATTGCACTGATTGTGACATGGTCTCACAATATAAGACTGGCTACCTGCTTGTCCCATTGCCCTCAGTAAGATTCAGTCACAAAGTCTTAAAAGGGCAAATATAAAGGAATGGAACCTGATCATATTCTTCCTGGGTGACAAATCCAGATCCTTCAATATCCACATCCTGAAATCTTTGTAGTGTTTCGAGCAGTTCCGTTACAGTGGGAATAGGCCAAGGTTGGGAAGCTGCATGTAAGAATCTGCGCCAGTCCACTGTGTCCAAATTCACAAGTAGGAATAATGATAGACTCTGCAACTGTAACATATAATTGCAAGCACAGAGATGAATGCATGATCCCATACAGTGAAAAGATTAGGAATGGATGATGTAGGACAAGATATTGTCGCCGGACTTCAACTTTTTGAATTCCCAGCAAGCCATGGAGGCTGGGAAGCATGGAAGTCAAAGCCCAATATATATACTGAAGCCATTAGATGGGAGGTATAGATAAATAATTGCACAGACATGAAGAAGACTTCACTGATAAAAACAGCAAAGTAAATATAATAATTCACCAACAGAAAACTGTCATTTACTACAAGTGTCATTGCCAAGGCTTTCCTAGCTGGCAAGCAGAGGAAGCAAAAACAACAGATTTCAGTTAGGTAAGTATATTTCATACTTGAGAACCATTAGTATCAGCAGTCAAGACTGAATTGAACACCCCTATTCCATCCCAATTGTTTTAATGTTATTTTGAGTTAATATACAGAGTCTTGAAAACTGTAAACAGTTTTCCAGCCTCACTGAGAAGTTACACTGGGATAATTAAAATGAACTCTCTTTTAAATATGTTTCCCCCCATCTCTCAACAACTGGACTGAGGTATCTTTTCTGAGATAAATACTCCTCTGATTTGCCTGCAGCTTACCATTATTTTTCCTTGCCATCCACAATACCCAATAAAAACAAATCATGTTTCTTTCTCTCAAAGCAACAATCTATGTCATTCTTTTTAAATGTAAGGTCAGTGGGCTTTCTCTCTTCATTGAGTAATAGTTAGGGCAGAGTTTCTAAACATGGCAACTTTAAGATGTAGGGACTTCAAGTCCAAGAGATCTCCAGCCTGTAGGTATGGACTTCTTCTCCCAGAATTCCCCAGAGAGCAAGTCCATACTTTTAAAGTTGCCAAACTGAGGAGTGCTGACTTGGGATTAGCTGGCACTCATGTGACCTAGAAACCCCATGGTCACTCTCAATCATGGAAGCTCACAGGATAACTTTGGGCTGGTCACTTTTCTTCAGTCCAATCTACCTCACGGGTAACTGTAAGGAACAGTAGTAGAAGAACAAAAAGCAGGATATAAATCTACCAAATCAATAAATAACACATAGAAATACGAAAGCAATCCTCATTTCAGTTGGTTTTGGAGGCAGGGATGGGTTGTCCACAATATGAAACAAATCCAAGAAGTTGACTTCCAGGAATATTCAAAATGGTTTAACTGATTAGCACCTTTTATACACATTGGTAAACAAGCTCCCTTTATAAATAATTCCTAGCATCATCTTCATTCAAGCAATATGTCCTGTCTTTCTACAACTATTAACACTTAAGTTTGGTAATTCAACCACATAGCAATACATTCAAGTAAAAACTAAAGCAACATCACATACACTAAGGGTCTCCATATGGATAGTCAAGATGGCAGTCATAATTGTATAATTATGGTCTCTATCTTGACTTTTTAGACTTTTCCCTCAGAAGTGCCCTGATGGATACTTACATCATACATGGAGAGATGCAGCCAGGCATCAGGAAGCATATTGGACCCAAGATTCAAAGTGATCAAATCAAACAAAATATCTATGAATGTTTTACTTGGTATTAAACCTAGGCAAATAAGAAAAGAGAGGAGGAATTGGGTCAAAGTGGAATTAATATAAAAAAGTTAAAAATCAATTGCATTTGACTGCCTAATACTGTAGGTACATTGCATATTTCCCTGTCTTTTTTTCCTAATTATACGGTATATACAGAGACTGTAATTTACTTTATATGTAATTGTACAATGTTGTACATTTCGATTTCTTTATACTATGTAAACCAAGCTGTGGGTTGCTGTCAATCAGCTATGATTCAAAAGGAAACAAAGCAAGTATTCTGCTCTTGAAGTCTGTTCCCCTAATAAACATGATTACAACTGGAACATAACTGGTTTCCAAATTGGAGTTGAAAAAAACCACTCTTGCATATTTTTGACCATTTTTTTTAGTTTGGTTAGGTTGCAACTACAAAGGACTCTGGATGAAATGGATTATATGGAGCTATTTTGATACCATTAACTATAGCCGTGGTGGCGAACCTATGGCACGGGTGCCAGAGGCGGCACTCAGAGCCCTCTCTGTGGGCACGCGCGCCGTTGCCCCAGTCCTAGGCCTTCAGCTGGGTTTTATAAAACCTTTTCACTTTAGGCCTCTGCCACCGTGTGCAAAAAGAAAAAAAAAAGGTTCAATCAATCAATCAATTTCAACTTCTCACGGAAAAAAAAATGATCTCGCAAAGTTGGAATTGATTGAACTTTTTAGTCCCACCCAGTCTGCCGTTACCACCGCAGCCACACCCACCCAATGGGCAACACCCACCCAATGAGCCACGCCCACCTGGCACCCGATGATACATAAGTGGGTTTTGGGTTGCAGTTTGGGCACTCGGTCTCTAAAAGGTTCGCCATCACTGTCCTACATTGTTCCATACCACCTGTTGGTCTGTTCCCAGTCAAATTGACTTATAAATGGAGACTTGGGGAATAATCTTGTTCTTCCTGGGTGAGTTAACTAAGGATTCACTGCTCAGATCTAGTGAAAACTGCCATTGCCTTCTGTCATTAGGACTTTGCTGTTGATAGAGGGTGGATCAAGACAGAGTGGCATCCATTCAGTCCGAAGTCCACTTGTTCTCAGGATGCTCTCAAGAAGGGGCTAAAATAATGCCAGAATTGATGTTAGTATAGAGCAGTGGTGGCGAACCTTTTAGAGACCGAGTGCCCAAAGTGCAACCCAAAACCCACTTATGCATTGCCAGGTGCCGGGTGGACGTGGCCACCGAGTGGGCGTGGCCACTGAGCTGTCAGCTCGTGCTCGCTCACTCACTCGCTGTCTGCAGCAAATGCTGCTTCCGCCGAAAGTTGCTCATTTTATAGCCTCTCGCCTATTCCCAGACTACGCATGCGCGGAGAGCTGCGCATGCGTGGAGAGGAGGAGGGAGCAGTTTGGCCCAGCAATGGCTTGCGTGCCACCAGAGATGGCTCCACGTGCCGCCTGTGGCACGCGTGCCATAGATTCGCCACCACGGATGTAGGACATCAGCAAAGAAATAGTGATATATAGGTACAAGCACACAAAATTGAGATGAAACTGTGGGTTTCGTATGTTACCAGTAGTTCTTGCAACTAATCTAATTCTCAGGTCTGTTATGAGGATAAAATGAGGTACCAGGAAAGAGAGAAACCATGTATGCTGCCATGGCATCGGACCTGGTTATCTCCGAGACCGCCTTCTGCCACAGATTACCTCTCATCGGCCGATACGCTCCCACAGAGAGGGTCTCCTCAGGGTGCCGTCAGCCAGGCAGTGTCGGTTGGTGACCCCCAGGGGGAGGGCTTTCTCTGTTGGAGCCCCCACCCTTTGGAACGAACTACCCCCAGAGATCCGGGTGATTCCGGATCTCCCCTCCTTCCGCCGCGCCCTCAAGACATGGCTATTTAAGCTAGCCGGACTGGCCTAAGGGGTATTTTAATTTGGTTTTAAAATAATTTTAAAAAGAAATGGCCAATAATGAATATTTCATTTTAATCACATTTTAAATTTAGTATTATTGTATTAGTTATCTGTTTTAACTGGCTGTAAGCTGCCCTGAGTCCGTTAGGAGAAGGGCGGGGTATAAATTTGATAAATAAATAAATAAATAAATAAGAGCTCTTGAAGGAAAAGTGTGGTGCAGAAAACAGAGTTTAGGGGACCCAATCAAAAGTATGCATGGTATTGTTTCAAGAATGTACACAGACTCTTCACAAAGACTGAGAAGGTTTGTTACAAACCTTTGATTAGAGATTGTATAGATACTAAAGCAAAATATGTATCTGAATCAAATTTGTTTTCTAAAGAGAATCCCTTGGTGAAAGAGCACAGGAAGCAGAGATTCAAGGAGATCCATGCAAGTTATGACGCAAATTTATACTCATTTTACTTTTGCATTTATTTTACATTTGCATACTTTACATTTGCCTTTTCACTTGCAAATGACTCTGATTCTTATCCCAACCAGAGAAAGGAGAAATCCTTCTGCAGATACTATTTTAAGCACATGCCTAATTTCTACCAAGCTCTCTTTCCATGAGCCAGTTAGTTAACTATGCATGCACTTGATGGTTGCAAGGTTTTCTATTTCTACAGTTAAAACTGCAAAATTTGAAAGCATTAAGAAAGTTGAAGTTATGCAAATACTGTGGTACCTTCTGAAGTCAGGTGGATTTAAGCTTTTATCCAGGGAGCACAGGACACATCCAAGGTTTGTATGGGAGAGAGAGAGAGAGATAGCTTCCTCAAGTTTTTATTACAAACATAATTCCTTCTGCACTGGACTTTTTGAGCTTTCTTAATTATCCGCTGTATTATATTTCTTTTTTCCCTTTTATTATTTTACGTTGATTTTAAAAAGCACTATTTGTGGTTAAAATGTTGCATCTTTCTTTTATAAAAAGCTGCTCCCATCAGCATCAACACCCATTCAAATAGTTCAAATCCATGTAGAACATTCAAATAAATGAACCAACTGCCTAAGAAAAAACAATTCTTTCATTTTGGGAGATCAAGTTATCAACGTATGATGCAAAGGGTATAGGACATTAATATGCTCTGGGTGGAACTTATATTGCAAGCCATTTCATTTCCAGAAGAATAGTAATAATTATTTCTCCATTTCAGCAGAACAAGGATATATAGTTAAAATGCAGAATAACAGGTATTTCAAAGAATTTCTTCCCATTCTTCAGTATCTTGTTAGAGACAAAATGTTTGGAAATTCCTACAGTGCATTTTTGTATTTTGCAATGCCATATTTGAAAATAATATTTCTAAAGATATTGGATTTTAGCTCCTAACATTTTTATCTGGCTCGATAATTTACAGCAGCTGGAGGAAAACATATTTTTTAGCCCTGCTCTACAGAAAGATCTTGGCCATCTCTAGCTTTTCAATATGAAAACTATTCAACTTTTCTAAAGACATTTGTTAAAATCTTCCAAAGTCATGTTTATTTCATTTCTCAAAATTCTATATGCTTGTTTAATTTCATAAAACAAATTATACTCAAGTGCTGGAAGATCTTACACTAAATGGTCAAGAAGTGTTGGTAGTCAGTAGAATAAAAGTATTACAGAGATATCTTTATAGTTCTATTAGCAGGTTTAGAAAGTGTTGTGTCTTATGAGGTGGAAAAGTCAAAGCATTCAACAAACATGTTTTGCGTCTGAGATGCAAAAATTAAAAAATACATTAAACCCTACACAATGGCCAGCAAAAAGGCAGAAGGGAGCATGTGCCACTATAGCTTCTGTAGTTATACAAGTATACACTTTGCTTTTAATTGGAGTGCAGATTTTTTTTGGGAGGGGGAAGGTGATAATTACTAAATAGTTATTTGTTGAAACAATGCCTCTGCAAGAAATTGAGACAGAAATAATGTTGCATGTCTAGTCACTTCCAAATGAACTTTCCCTTTCCCATTCGGGATCAGATGAAGAATCCGAGTTCTCATGAGGAGATACTCCAACTCCACTGGGATCCCACTGATTAGCTTGTAGTTTTCTGTTCTTTTGCCAAGAAACATTCCACAACCGAACAGCTTCCTGGGGATCAAATTTTTTGATCTCGGGAGAATTCAGCTGAATGACCATGAGATCCGTCATGCTTTCAAACATGAGTTTTGAACGTAGCCTCATCATTGTCAGCTTCATTTGACCAAAGCCTCGTGCTGCTTCGCTGGAACTTGCTGGCAATGTCAAGAGAAGATCGATAAGGGCCAAGACATTTGGATATTTATGAAAAAAATCTTTGTTTACTAAATCCCATGTTAAGCTCCGGATGTTTTCATATCTAGAAAAGATCACATTTATTACTAACATGTTCCTTTTGCTAATGTAGCAGTAAAACTTGGATTTAAGACAGCATGCTTATTACCTATTATATAGCTCTGCTTTTAGCATATTCCATTCAGTTTCAATTTCATCCACTTTCACTTTGGCCCATTCTAGGACTGGCTCATAATGCTGAATCAATAGAGATACTTCCGTCTCACCAAATTCTATAAGAACATTCATATTAATTGAAACAGTCCACATCTTTCAGAAAGGAATCATTTATTAGCCACTGCAGGGTGCTTTCTGTACCTTGTTTGAATTTGTCTGGCCATAGCTTAAAGCTTCCAATGGCGCTTGCGATCAAAACATCTTCACTAGCATCACAAAAACAATCTTGCAGCTGGTTCAAGAGACTGCTTAATAATTCTAATCGAGTTGCTGAAATATTTCCATCTCCCACAAGCGGGTAACCATGAAAATATGTGATTGTCTCTACCAGACGTTCTCGCGGCCCTGACCTGAGGGGAGAAACACGATACTTAAGCAATAAACTCTCTCATTTCAATTCAGACACACTTAAATATATGCAATAATTGTTAACATCCAACCTTTTTTGATACATTTGGAGTATCTCCAATGTTGACTGAATCGTAGCAAATACATCTGCAATGGAAGTGTTTGGATTGTGGGCAACACGAGACAGAATGTTGAGGACATTAATGACATCTAATAAAAAGTGAGAAAATTTAACTATGTTTGTTTTTAGAAGCAACTTCAAGAGATCTCTGGCTTTCTGTTGATTTGAGGAGCCTGATTCTTCTTCCGTCTGGAAATCAACATGAAAAACAATGTGTTAAAACACAGAAAACGTCTAGTTTTTCAATTATTACTCAAATCCTATAGTTTCAAAAAGCATTTACCTTATTCAGGTGTAGGACAATTGCTGGGTAACCTTTCAGAAGGATCTGAAGAGCTGTCTGTAAGCGAAGAAACCATTGAGAGCCACCAATTTGAGATGGAACCACTGGTGTCACTTTACGAGCTTCACAAATTAGCTTAAGGTTGTTCTTATTCATTGGAGAGTCATGATAAAAATAGTACAAGTTTTTTAATAAATCCATAAGTATATTGAATAGTGGATTGTTCTTCAGTACTATCTTGTAGGCCATTTCAAGACGGTGCACAAGACAATGAATGCTCTGAATACATGGTTGTATATCCTTCAATAGTTTAGCTACTCCATTTTCTCCTACCATAACATCTCTACCATCACTGCCAAAGCCAACCAGTTTTCTTGCCCAGTCATGGGTTGGCAAATTGACCTTCAGATTGGTTTGTAAGGTTTTCAAAATGGCATTTTTCACTGTCAAAGCATCATACATGACTATGGACTGAATTCCAACAATCTGGCAATGGATTTTCCCTTGATGTGCAAACTGTATATATACAAGGGCTGCTTCTGTTGTTCCACTGTCTGTAATGCCATCACTAATGAGAGAGAAGAACTTGCATTTTTCTAATTTCTCTTTCAAGGCTCTTCTTTCCACTTCAGCAATAAAATGAATAAAGATTCTTGCTGCTTTGTCATTTCTAAATATTGAACCAATGTCCACCCCCTTCATATCATCCAGTTTACTTATCCAGTCCAGGTCTGTGAAGGGGCGCCCAGTTTTGGCAATGGCATGGCACGTTCTAAAGAGGTTTTCAATTTTTCCCAAGGTTGTTTTACTCATGTTCTTTAACATCTGCTGAGTGGTATCTGTGTCTGGAGTAGAACTACTAGCTGCTTCCATACAGGAAGCCCATGCATGAGCTTCACTGTTATGGTGGTCATCAACTAATTCAAGAATAAAGTCATCAGTCCCAGAGCAAAAATTGTGTGTCTTCTCCCCTAAGTCTACATTATGTTTCCGACACAGAGCACAGTACATAATGCCCTTGTTACTGTCATATTTTAACCATGTGTACTTCAACAGCCAGATGTTTGGAAAGTGGTGATTCTTCTTTGAATAGTTTTGTTTGCCTGGAGTTACATTCTTGCTTTTAAATTGCTTCAGTGCTGCTATGGCTATAAATATTTCATAATGTTTATTACAACAACATTATAGTGTTTTAATACAATTTCAATATAATTATTATTTTGAGCTACAATTATTAATTATTCCAAACTATAGAAGTTCAACTACTGTATTTGTTACAAGACAGTAAATGAAAGGCATCTGAAAATTTCATTTTTTTTCTTTCATAACACAAATTTAATGCAAGGTATATGCTGAATTCTGTATTAACTAGATTACATATGTGAAACTGAATCTTGTCTTTCCACAAAATGATGCAAAATATAAAATGTTTATCTTTAATCTTTTTAGAAATTAATATAATCTGAAACTATATTCAGCAGCATTGACACACCATTTGGGTGTACATGAAAAAGGATGGGTGCATCTGAAATTTGAATATAAAAAGAACCGCTAAGTCAAATGAAATTTTATTGAAGGACCTATATGTTAAAAATGTGTTGAGGAACAATATCAGGAAACTGCAGTGAAGAAAAGTAGGCTTGCACTGTTAATGTATAAAAAGATCTAAAGGTTTTATTTTAAACAACTAATCAGCATTTTATCCTGTTCTTAACCTTTGTAGAAACACCTTTATATACTATGGATACAAATATACTATTTCAATCACTTTAAATCTTGAATAGTCATTAATGTGTTTTTACAAATCTATATAAAAAGTATTTTCTTACCTTTAGGTGCCACCTGTAGAAACTGCTTATGAAGAGTACTAAGCTGTGAAATAGTGAGTGTACTGTTTGCAGCAGTCTCCACAGATGGGGGACGAGGTGGAAGAGGAGGATCTTCAAATATTTTTATATCACCATTAACGTAGAAATCTACTCCTTCCAGGACTAACTCAAACTGAATTCTGGAGGAAGCTTCAATACGATTGCGGGCAACCCCAATTAATTTATCCACACTGTAACGATACACATGCTTGAAAATGAAAAACGTAGCAAAACCTAAAATTAATAGCTTTATAGACAATTAATATTTTTCTACTGGCTTTGTCCCTAAAAGAACCAGTAGGATTCTTCAACTCCAGGCATGCTATTAAAATCTCTAATATGCTCTTTAGAACATGTGAAGCCAACAGCTACTGAAATGCCTATATTGGAAAAATAAAGCAAGTCTCTTGCTGGATTGAATCTCCCAATTTTCATAATGTCATTTGACTTCCTATGAAATTGGAGTGAATTTTTTATTATGTTTGAAAAACTTCTGTACCGAAGTATTCATTTTATGGAGAAAATCCAATGGGAATGACAGAAAGTCACGATAACCTCTCATTTCCAGGTACAATATGGATAGAAAAAGTTTGGGATTGCCCACCTTAATAACTCTCTCCAGATTGCATTTCAGTTTATGGATTAGCACAAACAAAACTAGTTTCAGATATGCCAAAATGTAAGAGGAGCAGAGAGACCAAAAGCTTGTCTTCATTTTGTTTTGCTTGGGATTTCACACAGAAGGAATAAATAAAAAATGATATTTCCTTCCATTTATGAAAGCCTTAATGAATCAAAGTAAGAGTGGTAAACAATTGCAGGGGCTCATTCAAAAACCTATTCACAGCTATTCAGAAAGAAAAAAACCCTATCTTTCATTTCTCACAATAAATGCTACTTTAAAACTATAATTCATACAATCAGAAGCTCAGTCTTTAACTACATATACACACCCAAGCGTAAACTATTATTCACAATTTGTTCTTATCCGAATTATAGAAACACAACTGTAGTTTGTCTTTATTATAGATAATGCAGAATTTCTTCATCTTATTTATTCAGACTCTTGCTTAAGCCTAATGATTTTTACCTGATTTCCTCTATTGTAACATAATATTATTACTTTATTAAACAATTAATTACCTAGCCATTTCAGCCAGAAATCTCTCTCCAAGCCATTTTTCCATATTTCTGTATGTTTCTTCTGCCTTTGATTGTAGATCCTCCAGGAAGGCTAATCCTTTAACTTTTAACAGCTCAAGACGAGATTTTGCAGCCTCCGCTATTTTAAAAATGGCTTGTAGTTAGTATAAATCCAACCACATTCTAATATTCATTAGATTAAGTATTATGTAGGAAACAGAGCAATTAATTCTGTGTACAGGTAGTCCTCAACTTACAACAGTTGATTCAGTGACCTTCAACGTTACAACAGGACTGAAAAAAGTGACTTATGTGACCGTTTTTCACACTTACAACCATTGCAACATCCCATGGTCATGTGATCAAAACTCAGATACTGGGCAACTGTTTCATATCTATGATGATTGCAGTGTCCCGGGGTCATGTGATCACCTTTTGCAACCTACTAACGTGCAAAGTCAATGAGGAAGCCAGATTCACTTCACAATAGTGTTACTAACTTAACAATTGCTATGATTAACTTAACAAGAGTGGCAAGAAAAATCATAAAATGGAGCAAAACTCACTTAACAAATGTCTTGCTTAGCAACAGAAATGTTGGGCTCAATTGTGGTCATAAATCAAGGACTACCTTTATCTGCATAGTTGGATTGCTGCAAAAAAGGATCTGGTAATGACTGCTCTTTAGAAGGTCAGATCCTGAAGTTGAAACTCAAATACTTTGGCCACCTAATGAGAAGGAAGGACTCACTGGAGAAGGGCCTAATGCTGGGAAAGATTGAGGGCAATAGAAGAAGGGGACGACAGAGAATGAGGTGGCTGGATGGAGTCACTGAAGCAGTAGACATGAGCTTAAATGGATTCCAGAAGATGGTAGAGGACAGGAAGACCTGGAGGAACGTTGTCCATGGGGTCGCGATGGGTCGGATACGACTTCGCAATTAACAACAACAATGATGCAAATACTCAAATATGGCTTGGTGATGTATTTAAATTAAGTTTCATGCATGAACTTATATTTTGAACTAATTATGGTTTATGAGTATATCACAGATAAATTTTATGTTTCGAGCTAATCATAGTTTATATCACAGATAAATTTTCTCTGCCACTCCAGCCTTTTGGCTGCAGTGTAATGTTCCTCAGTGTTTTTGGTGCAGAGTTCAGTCTAACACAGAACAACCTGGCCTCGTTTTATTTCTGTTCTTAGAGAATTAAAGTAATAAACAATAGCAAGATTCACAAATATGGTAAGCCTAATACTGTACATGAGTAATTGTGGTTATTCAACAAACGATGGATAAACCAAACCACATTAATCAACACCTGAAGCTAAAAAAATTCAAGCAAATATAGTTAACATCCAAAACAAATGTCTATGGAGATTCTCAATCATTCAGGTCATCGTTGTCGCAAAGGTGCGAAGGTTCAAAAGGCAACTGGACTCAAGAACTAAACTCAAGAAGCTTCTTAGATGAGAAGTGAAATGTTTTCAAGGGGGAAAAAAACAAGAAAGTCCAGTTGCTTTTCAAACAACGCTTTTGGGAATTCCAAAACAAATGTTGGGGTTTTATTTAATTTTCTCAGCCCTAAACAGGTAGATAGTTAGCTATTCTGTTTGCAGAAATTATACCTTCATGCTCCAGTGCAGCAAAATATTCCTGTTTCATTTTAAGCTTCAGTTCTTGCTTCTTTAATTCTTCTGGAGATAAAGGAATTGCTATTACTTCAGTGGTAGATGGACTATGTGCACCTGGAAAAAAAAGTAATATTGTAAAGAATCTGAAGGTAAAAATGTTTGAATAGCTATTATCTTTGTATTAACACACAGCTAATAAAGTAATCTAGGATTTCTCAAATTTTGTGATGCTTTGTTCCCCCAATGAATGCAGGTAGTCCTCGACTTACGACTACAATTGAGCCCAAAATTTATGTTGCAAAGTGAGAGTTGTCAAAGTGAATTTTGCCCCATTTTACAACCTTTCTTGCCACAGTTGTTAAGTGAATCACTGCAGTTTGTTAAGTTAGTAACAAGGGTTGTTAAGTGAATCTGGTTTCCCCATTGACTTAGCTTGTCAGAAGGTTGCAAAAGAGGATCACATGACCATAGGACACTGCACCCATCATAAATATGAGTCAGTTGCCAATTGTCTGAATTTTGATCATATTACCATGGAAATGCTACAATGTTGTAAATATGAAAAATGGTCATTAAGTCACTTTTTTCAGTGCCTTTATAACTTTGAACGGTCACTAAATGAACTGTTTTAAGTCGAGGATTATCTGAAAATGGTTGGACCATGCTCAAGAGTGCATAGACAAGATAGATTGTCAAGGCAGAATGGGAGCACTCTGTAGTTATTGTCCAGTTGTATATGCTTAAACCTTTCTGGCTTTTTCTGGGGGTTCTTATTATGTTGGGTCCTGGCACTGAGTCTACAGACCATCTCTAGATAGTGCAAGCACTGCACTTGTGCTCAAGCACAAAATATTAGGAGCGTTGCAAGTGAACGATGCCTCAAGACTGGAAGGGGGAAATGAGATTAGGCAAGAGGGCCTGAACCTGGCCAGGTTATCTTGGATAGCATTTAGCCAGGCTGGCCAGGTTATCTTGGATAGCATTTAGCCAGGCTGAGATTAGGCAAGAGGGCCTGAACCTGGCCAGGTTATCTTGGATAGCATTTAGCCAGGTTTCAAAAGGCCAGTTCACCTTTTGAAACTTGTGCATAGCCCATCTCAATAACAGCAACTCTGTGAAGATCATTCCCATCTGAGTGGGCAGGAGGGAGTGCAGTCCTTCTCAAATTTGCTTGTTACCCTCTGACAGTTCTTTAAAAAAGGAGTTTCGTTCAAGTATTTATAATGCACAAACTGTTTTAAAAGTCTGAACTTCATTCATTTATCAAGAGGTGTTTGCCTGGTGTTGCTGCGGGGGAAATTTCCTGATAGTGAGAACAATCAACCAGTGGAACAGCTTGCCTTCAAAAGTTGTAGGTGCTCCATCACTGGAGGATTTTAAGAAGAGACTGGGCAGCCATTTGTCTGAAATGGTCTCCTGCTTGAACAGGGGGTTGGTCTAGAACAGGGCTTTTCAACCAGTGGTACGGGTACCACCTATGGTACATTGGCACCTGGCAGGTGGTACGCGACCATCTTAGAAAAGTGGTAGTGGGGGAGGGGAATGGGCTGAACTGGTGGCAGCACCGCACAAGCCTGAGCGAGAAATGGCTGGAGCTGCAGGGCTGTCAGGGCTCAGCGGAAGCGCCAGGATCAGTGCCGCTTTCCAACTGATCGGCACTTCTTTGGGGCTGTCAGGGCTCAGTGGAAGCACCAGGATCAGCGCCAGGGTCCAGCTGGAGCTTGGTGCTGATCCTGGTGCTTCTGCTGAGCCCTGAAGAAGCACCAATCAGCTGGAAAGCAGCACTGATATTGGCGCTTCTGCTGAGCCCAGAAGCGCCGATCAGGTGGAATGTTGCAGCATTTCCAGGGTCTTGTGATTTACATTCAGATGCTTGGCAACTGATTAATATTTAGACGGTCAAAGTGTCCCAGGGTCATGTGAAGTGACCACAACCTGCTGCAACCACCCAGCAGATGGGGGGAATAAAAACCAAACACCCCCTCACCCCACCTCCGCTGCCAATCCTCAACAGAAATGCTCACAACAATGAAAACCTCAGACAGGAGGAAGAGCACCGCCGGGTGGGCAGGCAGGTGTCTTGCTCGGCTGTGGCTTGGGGGGCACTTTTTTCAGTGCCATTGTAACTTCGAACAGTCACATCCTAAAAGTGGTACAGTGGGTGAAAAGGTTGAAAAGCCCTGGTCTAGAAGACCTTCAAGGTTCCTTCCATCTCTGATGTCTTTGTTATGTGAATTAGATCTGCAGCAATAAACCCAAATAAAGCACCCCTCTTCCCTGAAATGTTTCTGAGCATACACTTGCAACCAGATGTTTTCAGCGTGTGTATGCTTCCTCCCCAGAGTTAATAATCTACTGCAGGGGTCTGCAACCTTGACAACTTTAAGACTTGTGGGCTTCAGCTCCCAGAATTCCTCAGCTAGCATAGCTGGCTGAGGAATTCTGAGAGCTGAAGCCCACAAGTCTTAAAGTTGTCAAGGTTGCAGACCCCTGATCTACTGGATCTTAGCAAGTTTCAGGACAAAAAACTAATCCCAACACTTTCTGAGTTCGGGGCAAAAGGAGGAAACTCCCTCCCACGTTCCATAAAAGTATCTGTTAGTATTGCCTCGGCTAAACCATTCCTCCTTAACCTGGCACTTCTGAATGTGCCCTGGAAGTACAACCTAACAATTCTGGAGTTTCGTTTCCATTACATCTGGACGATGCAGAGAAGCTTTACGACTGTACAGGCGAGACTTGTTTCATGCTCTTCTAGTATCTGTTTGCTGGTCCTGCTCTGTATAGGACCACGATATATCACTGCACTTTGTTTACCTTTCTTTTTTCCTTTTTTGGCATCTTTGCTGTCCTTGTCTTTGACGTCTTTCCCATCTTTTGCTTCTTTCCCACCTTTTGCTTCCTTTTCGCCTTTCCCTCCTTTCCCTTTCCCTTCCTTTCCACCTTTGCCAGCAACGGTTTGCGAGGATTTGAGGCGCTCTTTTTCCTTCATTTCCTCCTGAAGCCGCTCCTTCTCCTCTTCCGCTTCTTTTGACTGTATTTCAGAACTCACCTGAAATTTTATGTGCCAACATTTATTAATAGAAATATTAGGAGCATTAAAGTAGAACTGTGGTGAAGATGTTTTTTGAGCATTGACTATAGGTCAGTGATGGCGAACCTTTTAGAGACCGAGTGCCCAAACTGCAACCCCAAACCCACTTATGCATCATCGGGTGCCGGGTGGGTGTGGCCAATTCAGTGGGCGTGGCCCACTGGGAGGGCGTGGCTGCGGTGGTAACGGCAGATTGGGTGGGACTAAAAAGTTCAATCAATCAATCAATTCCAACTTTGCAAGATCTTTTTTTCCCGCGAGAAGTTGAAATTGACTGATTGAATTGCACACGGCGGCGGAGGCCTAAAGTGAAAAGGTTTTATAAAACCCAGCTGAAGGCCTAGGACTGGGGCAACGGCCCACGTGCCCACAGAGAGGACTCTGAGTGCCGCCTCTGGCACCCGTGCCATAGGTTCGCCACCACTGCTATAGGTAGTCCTTACTTAACCACCACTCACTTAGCAACTATACAAAGTTACAACAGATCGCCTAAAAAGAAGTGAGGACCTGGTTCCAGAGTTCCAACATCATGCACACATTTTGTTTCTGTCTTCTATCCTCATACATCTATGACTCATCTCTTTAAATAAAGGCTTTACCTACCATGGAAGATATAGTTGTTACAATATGATGCCATGTCTCTGTGAGCAGTTTCTCATCTGGGCTGAAATTAAATATTACACTTTCTGAAAACAGATCGTCCTTGAGTTTAACTGGAATCAATTTGATCCTTTCTCTGTTAACCTCTGGTGAAGGTGATCTGTGCGCAATCATAGGTATTCTTAGAGAAAGAAAAAAAAAGAAAGAGATAAGTAACAGGTTGAGTCTTGCTTCCTCAGATGCTGTATTTTTAGTATATTGAGTATACTTCTATAAAGTTTTAAAGGTTTTAATGGAAATTGTGGCACTAGCATCAAACCTGTGGCTGACGTTTGGGTTGGCTACCCTTGCAGCGATGCCCCAGAGTGAATCACAAGTTGCAAGTTCTCCCATCGTCCATAGGATATTTAGCGTGTAAATTAAATTTTGGATTTTCTTGTTTCTTGCATCATCTTGCTTGGTGAAGAGTTCTTGAAAATTCATTTTCATATTGTTTTAATTCAGATTAATACCTATTTAGGTGTATTGCTTTTATTTTAATTAGTTAATAATGACTAATATATCTCCAATCATGTATTTAACCATTTTCCCTGTCTCACTGAAAATTACAACCTACCAACAATTGTTGAATATTCCCTGTGGCCACTCTTCAAGGAGATTGCCTTGGGTTTCTGACCACTCCATTTTCATTTAGCTATTATTGTGTTATTTGACTGGCCCTGGTTTTCCAGGGCCTCACATACAGGTGTTTTATATCAAACACATAAACCCCATTGTAAAGCAGATGTTTCATATATAATGGAAGTACATTCATACAGGTATTCTTTCTCCTATTTACATGTTCTCCAATACAAACATATCTATTAATTAGTGCAGTTCTGCCATTTTTAACATACATTTTCATCTTGCTCTCTTCCAGAGATGGTTTTCTTTCCGTAAGATCTATCAATGGTATTCTGGTAAAGTCGGAACTGGTGTCTGTTGGAATTTTGCCTTCCATTGCTCTATAATAGTCATGCAGAAGTTTTTTGGTATCTTGGAAACGGTCCATTTCATTCTTTACGATGTCCAAAGAAAGCAAAACAATTAATCCTCTTATCCCTCTGAAAATGCAAGACAATTTTACAACATCTACACGTCTATACTGATGTTAGAAAATTATTCTTAAAACAATCCCTTCTCATCTTTACAATTTGGGTTCCAACATTTTGGAACAAGGGAGCTAGTGCCCAGTTTTTTTATGTTTGAGCTACATGTTAATAGTGTTACAACACTTTATAATGCCTTGGTAAGGCCACACTTGGAATACTGAATCCAGTTTTGGTCACCACAATATAAAAAAGAAGTTGAGACTCTAGAAAGAGTGCAGAGAAGAGCAACAAAGATGATTAGGGGACTGGAGGCTAAAACATATAAAGAACAGTTGCTGGAATTGGGTATGTCTAGTTTAATGAAGAGAAGGAATAGGGGTGACATGATAGCAGTGTTCCAATATCTCAGGGGTTGCCACAAAGAAGAGGGAGTCAAGCTATTCTCCAAAGCACCTGATGGCAGGACAAGAAGCAACGGGTGGAAGCTAATCAAAGTGAGAAGCAACCTAGAACTAAGGATAAATTTTCTGACAGTTAGAACAATTAATCAGTGGAACAACCTGCCTCCAGAAGTTGTGAATGCTCCAACAATGGGAATTTTTAAGAAGAGACTGGACAACCATTTGTCTGAAATGGTATAGGGTTTCCTGCCTGAGCAGGGGGTTGGACTAGAGGACCTCAAAGGTCCCTTCCAACTCTATTATTGTTATTGTAACACCATGGATTTTAACTGTATGTTAATTAAATATCCACTAAATAATACTGTTACTCATCTTGGAGATTTATGATACTGTAGCTAAGCCAACAGACTTGACACAAGCTGAACATATTTTAAAAATCATAATTAAGTAGTCATAAGATTGTATGCATCATTATCTGTATGTGTGATTTCTCTACCTTAAAATATGATGTATTTCAACATCAACCATGAAAGTTTTAACAAATGTTTTAACAAGTTATACTATATATATATTGTAAATAGCAGCTCTTATTTGTGATTAGCATTGGTGAAAATAACAGTGAATGTAACACTAAACCACGATATGCGGAACAAGTAATAATGGTCTTGTTTGTCTATAGATTCTACAGAATAGAGCAAAAATATGAATAATTGTCCAAAACCATCTGGTTTGGGCCTAAATGACAAATTTCATTCAATAATTCTTCAATTAACACTTTAGTTTCTTTCTACAATGATACTTAAATCCAACAAGAAAAATAATGTCAAGTACAATTTGCCAGGTTCACAGAATCTGTACATCTGAGACCAAACTTTATGCACCTGTCATGCTTTTGATTTATTATTAGACTAAAAGCCGCTAAATATATAACTGAAAAGTAAAAAAACAGTGCCATGTATTCATGGGAAAAGTCACAGAACCACAATCTCAAAAGGGGGAAACAGAAACAGAAAGAAAGAGGAACCACAACAATATAAAAATCCAGTTGAGCAGGACAACTATCAGGTCAAAAGTTTCAGCTTAAAGCCCTTAAATCTGTATCTAGCGCTTGCCAATCCAGGGGTCTTGGGGTTGAACAAGAAACAATACAAGATACAATACAATAAAGATAAAGTTACATGACACTATCTGTCCTAATGCTATCAAACCTTTTTTTTGGTAATTTGTTGCATTTATATCTAATATTCCTCCTATATGCCTCATTCAGGGTCCATTATGGGCCAGAGATAATGATGCCAACCCTGAGGTCAGGCACATGAAGAATCAGGATGCTTGAATCTGATTCTTTTGAGATACACTTAATGAATATTGGGTTTATCTTCTTTGGATGACTTCAAACAAAATCTGTCCAGCTTTTGTTGGGAATAGGCAGCGGGTTAAATTGAATAGTCAATTATGATATTATGTTTTTCCATTTCATTATATCTGCCCAGTGGCATATTCACCTTTAGGATTCATATACTTTGAAAGATGGACAAGAGAATAAGAGTAGACTGGTGGTGGTGTCTTTGTTTGTGTGTGTATGTTGGTGTCCTTTCATAGTTCACCTCCAAATTGGTTATTGATTTGGAGCTATTGCCTGTGGCCAGACTTGCACTATGGATTCTTGTTCGAACAGGCAAAGCTATCCAGTCACACAAAGCTAAAATTCTATCAACAATCTAAGAGTTTACACATGCCAGAGTTTATACATGTGGTATTTGGAAGGCACAATAAAGATTGCAATGAGAAATGTGATTTGGTATCCAACAGATTGTGCTATACAATGTGAATGTGACATCCATGCTGTAATGCAGTTTTGAACATTCATCTTCTATGTAGCCACAGGGTTTCACTGCAAGTGGATTATAGAAGTGTTACTTAATAACACTCCAAGCAACAAATAGCACAAAAGGTAGAAATCTATACATTTGAATAGCGAAAAACATCAATTATAATAGCTGTTTTTCTAATAACCTAGTTATTCCTAGCTTCAGCCAAAAGTTCATAATACATGAAAATGCAAAGCTCCTTCTATCGCTTAAGTTCTATTTCAGACCTGCATAAGTGAGAAGATGTGGTTCATCAGAAGCCCAATTCGGTCTGGCAACCAGCCATCGTTCATGATATCACAACGTTCTTGCTCAGCTTCATCTCTCCTGTTTTCACAGATATCCCATAAACGATCCCTTAAATCCTAAAAATATATATTTTTTAACTTATAATGTTCTGAAACATCAAAAATGTTTTATCCCAATCCTCCCTGCCCACCCCCCAAAAATAGCTAAATACAATTCCACTGCAGATATCAACTGTTACATTGCCCACTTTTACACGAACTGGGACTAAGGATCACTCTAAATATAATCAAAATGCACTTTTAAAGGTAACTTAAGGAGTGCAAATTTATAGACAATGGACACAAACTATATTAAATCAATTAATCAAATTAAATGTTTATATTTACACTGAACCTAATGATCAAATGTGGTTCTCAAAGTCAAAAATATGGTGTATCCCTGCCTTGCATGTACAAAACCATACAGAAACCGGTAGATTTTCATGGTTTCAATGCAACTGATACAAAAACGTATTGTTACAAAATCTCAAAACACAACTTTTTTTCATGGAGTCTGCACTATCTGCAGTCTCTCCTTGCCAGAATTGTTGCTGTCTGCAAAAATAAAGGATTAGATGGGACTTTTTTGGCGGGGGCTGGGGGCTGGTGGGAGACAAAAGCTGCCAGTATGGATCTAGTACCCTCTACGGAAACCTGGAATGTGCAACACATGCAAAGGTGAATTGTGAATGTGACTTGGATAGTTTCTTTCTACAGAAGCTTTCATTATCAAAAGCAGTTCTAATGGGTCAGAAATCAGATGACATACAGTTATTATTGGTTTTTTAAATCAGTTTTATGGTAAAGATCTTGGGCTATACATCACAAAAAACTTCTTGGATACTTTCTTTCTACAGAAGCTTTCATTATCAAAAGCAGTTCTAATGGGTCAGAAATCAGATGACATACAGTTATTATTGGTTTTTTAAATCAGTTTTATGGTAAAGAACTTGGGCTATACATCACAAAAAAAACCTCCCTTTTAGGGGCCCTAATCCTTTAGTGGCCAGATGCCCTTCCTGACTCCAAACAGAGTTCGAAACAGGTATTTTTTTTCTTTGAGCCTTGGAGAAGAACATCTGTTGGTACCTAGGATTGAACTCTCAACCTTCCAAGTGGGAGGTAAGCGTATTTACCATTAGGCCACTATGCCATTTATTGGCCATACATCACATAGGGAGGAGAAACATGTTGATTGCCAGATCTTCAAGCAGCTTCAGCCAATTGAGCCGATAGTAAGGAATTGTGGAAATGGAAATGCAGAACATCTGGAAAAAACTACTATTCTCAACTTACACAGTCCAAGGCTGTACAATATGATACAGTAGATATGTTGTTGGTGGCTAATGCTTTTAGTTATCATTATAAGGTGCTGCGGGAACGCTTCTCTGTGGTATTTTTTTTTAAATGAAATGCTTCTTAGAAATCTCTGTCTCTTGCAATTTAAAATATTTCTCTCTTTTTAACAAAGTAAAATAGGTCAAATTGGAGGGGATCACACTTTGATTAGTATGCAACAACTATTCCAGTTATTAGGCAAAACAAGAACAACCCTATCCCAGAACTAAAGCTATAGGTGTTTTCTGATCTAGACAAATAACTTGAAGAGCTTTTCTTTCACGAGATATATAATACTGAAATTATGAAAAAAATAAAGGCGACACCGAAGCAAACATTTCCATAAACTGACATTATGTTAATTTATTCTATTATAAGAAAACATACTTTACTTGCAAAAGAAATAATATAGGGAAGACTGAAAGTATTATATTGCATTTATTATATTGCTAGTCCATTTACATGTTTGCATGCAGAGTTTGAGCACATATTTCTACTGTTGAGTTTTCCCCATTAAATAGGAAATGATATGACTTCATTGCCTACATCTCAGTAGTTTATGATGGTTTGAAA